CCTGGATAACGGCATAGGCCAAGTCACTGTCGAACTAGACCTCGAAGATCGCGTGTTCACAGCGGAAGTCACAACCTGGCAAGCTGCCGTAATACATGCATTCCCAATCACCAACTGGGTCCCCCATCCCAACCATCCCCCGTAACCAAATCCGTCTCCGAGCTTTCACAAAAACTGGAAATGTCTCCCTCCCTCGCCCGTAGCGCCTGTCTCTTCTGGCTCAGCAAGCGTATCCTCACAGAAACGCAACCTGATACCTTTCAAGTCCTAGAAACAATCCCAGGCGAAGAAGACGAAAATGGCCCACCACACGTAGGCGGTGAAGCAGCCACCGTCGGTCAATACTCAACAGGACCACGCACAACTGGTGTCGGCGGTACATCGTCAACAAAAATCTCCTCTGCGGACGCCGTCGCAGCTGCAGAAGCGGCAGAAGCAGCTGCAACGAAAGAATCTGCAGACGCTGTCTCAATGGCGAGGATGGATCTGTACTGGCAATTTATTGTGGGTATGCTGACCAACCAGGGCGCCATGCCGTTGCAACGGATCATCATGATGCTGAAGATCGTAGTACCCGGTGGGTTCCCCTTTGGTAGCGAAGAACTGCGGGAGTTCTTGAGCCAGATGGTGGCGAAGGGGAGGTTGGAGGTTGTGAGTGGAGGGAGCTACAAGATTGTAGCGTAAGCTGTATATTGTGCGCGTCAATATATTCTCGAATGGTGAGCAGGCGTTTGTAACTCACCCGTTCCAGGTACCTCGTTTCTCGCAAGGGGTCATAGCAACGGGTGGTATTTTTTCTTTCTTTTTCTTGTAGCTTAAAGTCGGGATTCCAGACATTTAAGATGCTAATTTTGTTGGCCCCTTTCATACACAGTCTCCGCGAAATCTGCTTTACTGTCGAAACAATGATACCCTTTTCGTTAATTCCTCGCTTTCATCCTCTCCAAAGTCCTGTTCCTGGGACTTGTAATCCACGCCAATGATGTTATATATGGTGGTGTGTAACTTCAAACTGTGTGCATAGATATGTCTCCACATACAAAATGTAGTTTTCCAACGCGGCGTATATAGGGCTTCTATATCATGTAATAATTCGGAAAACTGGAATCGTTGCGCTATTTCATTTCAAAAATCGTAAAATCAAAGATGACAAAATAAACAAAATAAAATAAACGAAAAGGTAACACGGCCCGAAGCATCAGGGCAGCAACCCGCTATTTATCCCATCCCCCATCCCCGAACCCTCCTAAACACAAAAGCCCTATCATTCCGTAACCCAAACTCCGCCCAATCGTCAGTGAGTCGATTATAGCTCCAAAACCCCTTCCACATCAACTTCGTGTTTTTCGACGGGTTGGACGGAGACGCCGTGTTCTCCCCAACAGGCCGGCCACCGCTAGCCGATCGGAGTGCTAGGTGCATTGTATACGTATATTTTGGATCTACGCCTTCAGTTTCGATAAACAGATCGCGGGGATCTGGTAGTGATTCATTGCCACTAGTAGAAGTGGGCGCGGGAGCTGCTTGATGAAGTTTGCTGGGAGATGAGGTGTGATTTGCTGCGGGCGTTGATGTTGACGTCATGAGTGGAGCGCTGGGCAACGCTTCGGACTGCTCAGATTCTGGTGGTGCCGGGTAGGGGTTATTAAGGTGCCATCGGCCACGAAGACAACTTTTTAGTGTTGTGGCGGCAACTGGGGGAATTGGGTTCGCAACAGGAACTACCGCTTGAGCAGAATCCGAAGTGTGATGCTGGTGTCGACGGTGTGAGTGCGTCCCAACATGCAAGGTTTCGAGGTTTTTTTTACTGATATAACGGACAACGTCGACTGGCTCAGTAGTTGTCAGCAGCGAAATCACGCTACCGTCCGGGTAGAAACGCAAATATCGATAATATGTCACGATGTGGATTGGAGTATTCCAGGAAATGTTCTGCAGAGAGGAATTCGCACCAGGGCGAGTGTAATTAACAGTACTTATATAAATTCCTGTAAATCGGATCCTGGGGAAGGCCTGGAATACCTGACTCCAGGATAAAAGGGGCTTTGGGATCTGTAAACGAGCCTGGCCGAATGGAAAAAGAGTGAACTTCGGCAAAAATGAATGCATCCGATGCCATCTTACATCACATGCGAAGTCATAGTGCATGGCCCCGAACCCGAATTCAGAACCTTGACAGAGCCTCCTCCAAATGTGCTGCTCATGGGCAAAATGGTATGCCATTCTTTTACAGACAGAGGACAGACGCCCGAAGGCAGCAGGATCCAAAAGAGCCACATGCCAGAGAATCTCTACAAGCACTTCAGATGGGACTCTGGAGATGGGACAAGGCGGGGGTGGTTCATCTTCAATGGTTGGGCCAGCACCGAGAATGGGGCATGCGGCGAAGGAGGAAATTAGCTCCGCCGTAGAAATCCCGGGTTTTTCCTGTGAAATATGGGCAGGTTTTGGAACGGTGACCAGCTGTGCGGAAGGGTTAATGCTTGGCACTGACATGACTTGAGGAAAGTGCTTTTTCCTGTACTCTTGGTCGACATTGGAATCAAGCTAACAAGAGAATTAGTTTTTTAGACATAAGGGATATCTTATCAGTTGGGCGTGTGGTTACCCTGTAAGCCTTTCTGTACAGGTCTAAGCTTGATCCTAAGTTTCCCTGAGCTTCCTTCCGTGTCGCAGCTTCAAAGTGCTCCAGGGCGGAAGTCGGCGGTTTCTCATGTTGACGATGGAAAAAGTCATCGTCGCCAGAGGTAACATAGAGAGTTTGCATCTGCTCTGCCACGGCTTCTTCATCTTTACGCGGCGTAAATACCCCTTCTGTAGTTTCCGGTTCTTCTTCCTCATCTACACGGTCCGCAGCTGGGTGCCGCGGAGGCAATTTTGAGCTGGACGATGCTGGAAGAGGCGTACGTGCAGTTTGCCGGGTATTTGGCTGTGAGGGATCAGCTTTCCTAGCCCGGGCA